CTGACTTATGGATGCCACAGACACACACACTAGTCTAATCTCATCCCGTTTCCGGTCAGCCATACTGTTGACCATCCCTTCCGTTCCAATGTACATGAAACTAAAATTGGTTGCCTAATACCCCGGCATAACACTACACTGACTCTTGTAGTGTGTGCTCGGACTGACTAGGGAACATCATGTTCAAGGGTTCCGTTTTATCCCCTGGTAGTATTCATTTCCAAAGATATCCTTTCATTTCCGGGGAAATGTGGGCTTGGTAGGACGGTTGATGAGGTTACTCTTCTTGTACTAGGGCGCAACTGCAGCAGCTCGGCGTTAAGTTCTGTATTTGTCTTTTCAGGGCATTTCATACGTAGTTGGCCACCACATCACAAATATTGATGGGGTTGCTTGAAATTGGCCCAGACATGGCCAAAGTTTTGGCAGTTGTGTCACTGCATAAGGCCTCTCTCATCTCTAACTATTCAGCTTGAATATCTCTTGAGATATTATGTTTCTTGTTAAGGTAACAAGGAATACAGGGAGGGGTTTCTATGTCTGTCTGTCCATTGGGTTCTGTTGGAAATATCTTCCATTGGCGTGTCTTGGGGAAGATGATGGATTACTACCATCATAGGCTTTTCAGAATTTGGGGAAAAGGTAAAATAATGGAGATTATATTCCTCTAGGTAGTATTTTATGGCTGAATAGTCTGCCAGTTCTTTTGCTTTGATATGGGTTTCATTTCATGCATTTCAAAACTTATGTTCTCCTTTGGCGTGGACTTTTAATTGGCTTTGGAGTCGAATGAGGTTTGTGGTAAAAGTCACTGTTATTGGCAGCAGCCACAGCCTCCTACTCTGATAGTGTTCTCTGCGCAAGTAGTTTCATGGTGTCCATGTCAGTCACATTGAGAGGCGCGAAGAAATTACAAGTTAACTCTGCTTTTGGAGGTATCTTGACAGCTGTGGACATTTACTATCACACATTCCAGTCAAATCCAGTAAACTGCTGCTAGGCCTAGCCAGCAGAGTACTTCTTGGTTTCAGCACCAATTGGGACCCATGACCATATTCTTCTTCTTACCAGACTTTTATGTGTTTTGAAATGGGGCCTCCTTCTCGAAGAGTTGAGGGGTCTGACTACTGCTGGTCACTCTCTCACTCACTTCTGCTTACCCTCAGACAGACTCAGACTCAGACTCAGACTCAGAGTCAGAGTTACTTTACAACTGGCGCTTTACCTCAATCAGTTCAAATCCCACGGGACTCATGACCATATTTTACTGCCTCAGAGGGCCAGGTATGTATATCCCACAGGAACAGGGTGGCCCCATTACATCCCCAGGCCATGAGTTCCCTCTTCATCACCTCTCACGACTCACAAGCAATGGTGGAGGTATTCAACCCCACTTCCACGTGGGATTGAATTAAGCTCATTCAGAGTTACTGTCAGACAAAGTCAAAGTCAAATTTATGCTAATACTGATGGTCAGTTGGCCAGTGTGGCTTGGAATAAAGCACCCATCTGGGGCTTAAAACCAGAACTTTATTTCTGTCAGACAGTTGCAGGTTTGTTGATGTGGGGCGCTCTCTCTCATGAGAGGATGGGTCAGTCTTTGCCAAAATCACAATCAGTAGTAGTAGGTCTATTGTAAATGTGCACAACTTACACTTTATGTGTTATTAAATGTATGCATATACAATGTATACAAGGCCTCTGTCAGTCCAGGCTAAGTACAGCACATTATCATTACTAGCTCATGTTACAACAGCAGTCTAGTCACTTGAATACTGTCAGATAAACCATTGGTTTTCGTTATATAGCCTCAGGCATACAGCACAGAAAACTCCACTTCAAACAGTTCATCTAGTGTTCTGTTGATTCGTTGCTCCAAATATGTGTGTACCACGCTGTTGCTTAGTAATGACCACCATTCTCGTCCACTATTCCGGCTTTCAGCCCTCTTATCACAACATTAATGAGATGGCTGAAAAGATGGAGGGTGTGAGAGAATGGAATGGATTCATCTAGCTCAGGATAGGGTCCTGTCATTTTGTGTATCTAGACTATGAGTGTGTAGACTCACAACACAAGAAGAAGAGACACTCAGCACCATAAAATGCATGAGTGCATAGATTGGACTACATATGGAAAATTAGAACCACAAAACAGAAACACAGAAGTTTCCACCAACAATTTTTAAACACCTGATAATGACCAATGTTGGTCGAAACATTTAGTGCAATGAAGAAAAGCTTTGAAATGAGGTTTAAAAGGGTATATTGCATGTAAGATGGTGAACCAGTGACATCTGTTGGATAATCATTACTATTTTTACATCATTACATTTCAGATACAAGAATACAGAGAGTATAACAGTATCAGCTACACAAAAACACATACAAAAAATGATGGCTCATAGTTTTCTACATAAACTGAACCATAAATTTATATAATAATTTGCAAACAGTAAAAGTCTATCGGAGACAAGTTCTTTCTTTAATGAAGCTATGTATTTTGTTTGAGGTGTTTTACAGGAACTGTTGAAATGCAACCTTTGTCCATAAAGTTCTGAGATTGATTAATATCTCGGCTTAGGCAAATAATGTCAAGTCCAGGAAAACACATTCTTTGCCCCTGTTATTGACATTAGTTTGCTCGACCTCCGCTAGACGGCAGGGCGCGGCGGAAAACCCATGTCAATTGTCATTTGTGGATTTGTGCTGTGAGAAGAATGAATGTTCAATTTGAATAGCGAGTTCCCATCAAATTTTATGTGAAGCTGGGCAAGACAGACATAGCGACATTGCAGCTTCTGCGTGATGTCTATGGCGATGAAGTTTTATCTTGGGCGCGAGTTTTCGAGTGGCACAGGCAATTCGTGTCAGGCAGGGTGTTAGTGGAGGATTACACAAGGTCAGGCCGGCCTTCGAGTTCCAGGAACGAAGACAACGTGGTTCACATCAGAGAGATGGTATGGGAAGACTGTATGGTTACAGCGTGCATATTGGCTGATGCCCCTGAATATCAATAAGTCAACCTGCCACCAACTTCTGCGAGGGAACTTGGGTAAACAAAAACTCAGTGCGAGGCTAGTTCCACTCCCTCAGGATCAAAAGGAGGTGCGAGCTGCAGTTTGTTACATGAGGCACAGAACGATTCAAAGTTCCTCAACAGCATCATTGCTGAGGATGAATCATGGTGTTTCCAGCACGACCCTCAGATGCAGAGGCAAAGCGCTGAATGGTGGTCAATGGGTTCTCTAGCATCAAAGAAAGTGAGGTGACAGCCATCGAAAACAAAGACTATTATAATCGTTTTTTACGATGCCAAGGGTAGTGTTCATCACGAATTTGTTCCGCAAGGGCAAACAGCCACCCAAGAGTTTTACATCTCCGTACTCAGGTGCATGCGCAAGGCACTTCAACGTCATCGTCCTGACCTATAAGTATCTGGACAGTGGACTTTGTTGCATAACAATGCAAGACCACACACAGCTATAACTGTCAACAGATTTCTCGCTAAACACAGCGTTACTGTGTTTCAACATCCCCCGTACTCCCCTGACCTCTCTTCATGCGATTTTTTTTTTCTGTTTCCATGACTGAAAAGAAATATATAAGGACGGTGATGAGAATATGGAGGATATTCAAGCAGCTGCGACAACAGAGGTCACAGCCATTCTGAAAGAGGCATTCACCAGCTGCTTCCAGGACTTGTCAAAACACTGGCAAAGGTGTACTGACTGCAGAACAGGGACTACTTTGAAGGGGACATGAACCATTAGTTAATAAGTTGAATTTTGTATTTTTTACAGTCTCAGTCTCGGAACTTTATGGACAAAGGTTGTAAGTTAAAGTAATCACATTGATGGATTAAATAACGTTAGGGATGGAATTTCCAAAGAGTAACTCTCCCATTTCTTAAAAGTAGGGGGGGGCGTGAATATGATGCAATTATGATGAATGGAATAAATCAAACTGGAGGATAAATAGCTTTGCCCATTCCTCAGAACTTGTGATAGGAGGAAACACCAAAATTCATTTTCTGTTTATGTGCATGATCTTATAAAGATCACACAGGATATGTTGACTGTAGCATAGTTAGGTTTCCTTAATTCTGTTAAAGTATTTTAATATGGAGACCGCTTCCATGATCTAGTGGTCAGAGTTCCTGGCTAGAGATGCAGAGGTCCTGGGTTAGATTGCGGTGCTACCGGATTTTCTGAGAAGTAGTGGGTCTGGAATGGGGCCCACTCAGCCTCATGAGGATAATTGTGGGGCTATTTCAAGGAAATTGCAGCTGCGGTCTAGAAAACCAAGATTAACAGCCATGGGGATTCATTGCGCTGACCACACGACACCCTCTATCCACTAAAGTTGACACTAACTTCGCTGACAAGCGGTGGTTGCTTGGTCAGTATAGTTCACTTGCTGACTAAAGCCACAGATTATTTGAATATGGAACACTGTGATGTGAGATTTTGGGTTTATGCTGATTTAATTCAGCTAATATTCACATATGCAGAGGAAACTAAATAAAATAGGGTAAGATAGGCAGTCAGTACATTTAGAGAAAAGGAGAAATTAGTCTAACACTTTGATTGTGAAAGCTCAAAGGAAGGGACCATTTGGGAGGCCTAGACATAGATGGGAGCATAATATTACTACCTTTGCGGAGCTGAAACCTTTCTTGAGAAGCTGGCAGCTATGCAGCTAGTGGTCTCCTCCTTTCTGGCTCTCCCACCAATATCATATGCATTCCTCTCTTCACCCATTTGTGTTACATGCCCTGACTATATCATCCTCCTTGACTTGATCATTCTAATTACACTTGGCAAAGAATACTAGTTATGAAGCTCCTCATCATGCGGTTTTCTCCAACCTTTTGTCACTTCATCTCTCTTCGGTCCAAATATTCTTCTCAGCACCCAGTTCTCAAACATCCTATGTCTAAGTTGCTTCATTAATGTCAGAGATAAAGTTTCACACCCATTCAGAACCACAAATCCAAAATTACAGTTTTATATATCCTAATTTTTACGTTTTTAGACAGCAGCCAAGAAGACAAAAGGTTCTGGATTGAATGGTTGCAAGCATTACAGAAATTCAAACTCCTCTTAATTTCCTCCTGAATCAAATTTTGAATTGTTACTGTCATTCCCAAACATTTGAATGGTGCCATATTTTCAAAGGATGGGGGCATAATATAAAAATGAATCTGAGAGTCACAGCATAGTGGAAGGGATGAGTGGATTTGGGTACTCGTGAAGGAATTCAATGGCAGGTTTAGGTAAAAACACTGACCAACCATTGGGTTTTATAAGAGCAGGGAATATCTAGACCAACTGTTCAAGAAGACACTGCACCATATAGGTAGGTAGTTAGGTAGTTAATTAGGTAGTTCATTAGTCTGTCAGTTGGTAGGTTTGATTCAACATTTAGATAAGTGTGTCTTCATCTTGAGTCTCAAATACCATGAAGAGAGAATGCAATGATGAAGAACGTGGGACAGAATGTTCAAGCAATGCCAAGTCTTCCCCACTGTTGATGGAAGAATCTGGAGAGCTGCCCTCTGCAGCCATTTGGTTGGTAGTGGCACTGCTGGTTGAAGGCAGATCATGAGCATCAGGAGATGCAAGTGGTGGTTCATGGGAAGACTCATTATTAATGGCTGTTGCAGCAACAATACCAGTGGGTGTAGGAGGACATTCCAGGGCCATCATCAGCAGACTATATGACTCCTTGTACCCTGAAGTACTTGATGTTTGTGAGACCTGCAGACCAGCCATAATTCTTAATAAAAAATATTGTTTCACATCCAATTCCAAATAATCAAACAAATTTGGTGAAAATAAAATAAAGACAATCAAAATACTTAAATTAAAAATATTCTGATCATAATACTGTAAACTCCCAATTATCCATCATATGTGGGGAATGGGGTGTATGAATACAAGTATCTGCCAGCTGCATAAAGATAAATCACAGAGAAACCCATTTTCATATGATTTTTCCTTTTTTACATTCTTTTAATATTCAATATTTTGTTTCAAATTAAAAACAGCATATATTCACCTTAGTTTACTCATGGGAGTCAATTTAGGGGGGTCAGAGAATTTGTGGATGAAAGACTTTGCATACAGTGCAATGAAATCACAAACTCAACTTGCCTCTACTGTAATCACCCATCCTAGTGCCCTAATGACATTCATGTGGGGATGGATAATGGACAGCACTGTTAGTGGTAGCTGGGAGAACTACAAAATGGCCAGTGAACATCTGAGCATTGCAACTTAGTTTTTGAAAGATATTTTGATTGAGAATTTTGAATCCTTGGATACCAGATAACCAGGAGTTATTTACTGTACAGTATTAGATTTGATGCTTCCACAGCAGTGATTATTATGATTATGGTCCACTATAATGACATTCCATTTAGCCTCTTGGTTAGGTGTCAGTGTTTCTGAGGAATGTACCACCACACCTTCAGTGTGAGGAAGTGAGCTAACGAGAAATCAGAACAAAACAGAAAGAACCCTTTCAGGTCACTGGCTTCCAATGGCTCACTCACAGCCCCAGTTCAGACGATCCCTTCCCTGTCTACTGTACCTCCAAGCTTTGCTCACTTCTTCTGTCTGAATATAGAGACAGTGCATTCCTCCAAAATACCAGACTACACAGCCTCACAACATAAAAGACTGTAGTCTTAAATTGCATGACACTCTGCAGACTTCTCAGGTTTATATAACCTGATCCTTAATATTATGAAGAACTCAATAATGTCCAATAAAGCAAACTTCCATAGTTCTGGACTTTTGAATAAAAAGAAGGTCTAAGAACTGGAGACAGTCATGAAATACATCATAATACTTTTCAGTCATGATGCAGCAAGTCATACATGAGATTTGAGAATGAGCAGTATGACAGCAACAAGCACTGCAGAAGAGTGCCATGATAGAGTTCAAACACATACACAAAGCATACCAACCTCATCCCACGATACATCAGCAGTAGAGGAACGTGCATTCTCTGAAGAGCGTGACTGGTGGACAGATAATCGCTGTGCATGTAACACAGCTGCATTAGGAAGCTGCTGGCTTGTGGTAGCTCCTGTGGTGATTGGTAGAGCAGAGGACTTTCTTGGTGGAATGTCAACTGCTGATGTCTGTTGTTTCTGCTCTTGTTGCTGTGAAAAAAGTTTATGTTCGTGTTGGAGCTGGAGCTGCTGCTGCTTTGAAAATTTCTCTTGCTGTTGCTGTTGCCCATCTTCTGGTGATGTTTCAGATGGTTCAACCTTGGCATGGGATACCTGCAAGTAACGTCTTAATTTTGGTGGTCTAGTGTCAAATGTGAGTAAATATGTAAACTGCGACAAAAGACACCAATAGATAATTCAAATTAATCCTGTGATTGGTGTTCATGGATTTGGTTTGTTGGCTTGGTTTGTTCCACTTAATTTCCAATCTGTTTCTATCTTACTTTCAATTATTTCCCACTGACAAATCCCTGATCTCAGGTGTGTGTGTATGTGTATGTGTACGCAGTGTGACAATAAAGTTCCTGAACTGACGCTACTATAGTAATTTCGTACTAATGCCATCTATCGGGGATGAATGGGACTAGTTACAGAGAACGTTTGTGGAATGAGGGATTCCTGTGTTATCCCATCCACCCTACTCCCCTGATTTATCGTCAGCTGACTTTTTTTTTATTTCCTAAATTATAAACTGCTATGAAAGTAACAGGATTAGAGACTGTTTCATGGATCCAACAGTCTGTGAGAGAACTGAAGGCAATACAAGAAGAAGTGTTTTCTTGGGGATTTAAGACATTGTATGACTGATGTAAACATCCTGAAGTGGATGGGGACTTACTGAGTAGCGCTTTTTTTACTTTTGTGTGTTTTTTATGGCCCAAGTTCATGAACTTGTCATACTGCATATACAGGGGGGTCCAAAAAAAATTTATTCACTCTATGATAGTCAATATCTTTCGAACAAAATGACATGTAGTTACAATTCTTGTGCGGTAGTGTAGTATCATGTTTTCTCAACAGATGGCGAAAGTCACATGAGTCATGCGAGTGTCGTGCCACGTGTGAGCAGGAGACAGCAGTAACAATGGCTGAAAGGTTGTTCTTTGAGCAACGCAAGGCTGTCTTGAAGTGGTACTGGAAGTATGAAAACATTAAAGAGGTACGACAGTGGCAGAATGAGTTTGGAACTCAGCCACCGATATGTCAAACAATTGCCCGTATTCTGGATAAACTTGAAGCAGACGGTACTTTTCATGATGTGCATAAGCAAAGATCTGGGCAACCATGGATAGTAACAAGTCCACCTTCCAGTGCTGTGGTGTTGTAACACTTTACATGATCACCACTAAAATCCGTGAATCAGTGTGCACGCAGAAGTGGGGTGAGCTGATCAAGCATACAGGAAATTCTGAAGGCTCCAAAGTGGGCGTACTTGGATGACACTATACCTGGACGATGGACAGGTCGTAGAGGTGCTACTGAGTACCCATGACAGTCTCCAGACCTAACACCTCTCGACTTCTACCTATGGGGAACCTTGAAGGTTGACCTACATGTCATTTTGTTCCAAAGATATTGACTATCAAAGAGTGAGTATATTTTTTTGGACCCCTCTGTATATGTATATAGCTATAGCCTTACTGACACAGGATTGTCCAGCGTTTGAGGTTAGATCTCTCTACCAGATCCAACAGAGCAGGTGTCTCCCACCCTTTCACCTAAGGATGGAAACTAGGACCAGTTTCCAAAACCTTGCATTCTTTAGTATATCAGACAATGGGCAAAGTCCAAAACCCTAGTAATCCTGAATGTTATAAAGCATCATCAGAACTCTTAAAATCTACAGGTAAAATTACAGTTTCATATATTTTAAGGGATGTGATGAACTTTTCTTACAGATTATGAACTGAACTGCTGAAACTATTTTGACCTCACTTTCATCATGAATATGATTTTACTTGCTTCTGTTTCTTCCAAGCATCTGAGTTTTATTTTCATACCTCAATATGGCTTCTTCTACTCTTCCGAAGCCTAAATGTCTTCCTGCTTTGTGCTTTAGAACGTTGGAGACGGGGTTTGTTGGGACGTCCACTCAATTCACCAGAACTTTCATCTGCTGGGCTACCAGGGCTCAAAGGAGTGGTTGATGTTTCACCTAGGCATGTACATACATCCATCAGGAGCGTCATTATGAAGAACATTATTACTGTGTTACATCAAATGCTAGGAAACTATAATGCATTACCCTTTTCGCTGTTCAAATGAGGTGTTAACAAGTCATTGACACTGCCATAGGATAGAGAGTCTGTAAGTCAAATCATTCCGCATAAAATTGAGATAAATGCTAACTTACAATTACAGGAACTAATTTCATGCAAATTTTAATACTTACTTATGGAGCTGAGTCCTTCTTGAGGAGAAGCCAAATCTGCAGCTACTCAAGAATCTCCCAGGATTTTATGGAACCTGAAGGTTTATTACCATGTTCACAAGAGCCCTCCACTGGTCCCTATCCAGAGCCAGATCAATCCAATCCATACCATCCCATCCTATCTGTCTAAGATCCATTATAACCTTTAACGTCCGAAGTGCCCCGATCGGCCCTGTGATGATTATGGTCGTCATGGCCAAAGTACCCCAATTTGGCCAGTCGGGCATTTAAACACCGCTAGTGGAAGCGCATGCACATGCCACTAGAAGAAGCGATTGCACAGTCCTAAATATTTATTTTTAAATGTAGTAATTACCAGACAGACTTGAGTAAAACCCTAATAGAGGAATTAAAATGATACCTAAGTGAACAACAACAAAAAAACTATACATATGAGTTATGCCCAAACTCATTCATGAGCCAGTACTTTTATAGCAGATTCTGCATATTAATGTGTTAAAAATATATAGTAAAATTCGATGTACATACCTTTTTTGTTATTATCTATTTGATGTATTGTGACATGTTGCGCAATGGAGGACAACCCCTCCCCCCAGCAGTGACGTGGTGGGTGAGTCAGCGCTCTGTCCCCCACCCCCTCTACACTGTGACATGGCACGCAACGCCACTGTCGACAAGGCGCCAGCCAACAGCGGTACCGATTACGTAACAGGCAAGCGCTGAGACTATATAAGTGAACCACACTGCCTACAAGTAGAGTTGTAATGTAGCCGCCGCCAAAGTTAGTTCTCAAGCCAGCAGCCTACAAGTTGAGTTGAAATGTGGCCATCGCCGAGTTCAGTTGTCGTAGTTAGTTAAAAGTGTATTATCGGCCGAAGAAAGTTCTCCAGTCAGCAGTGTACAAGTTAAAAGAGTATCAGCTGCCGAAGTGAGTTCTCAAGGCAGCAGCCTACGAGTTGAGTTGACATATATAGCAGCAGTCGCGGTAAGAAGAACCGAACGCGTGGTTACAAGATTTTATGTGACAGTGTGCGATAACTAAGAATTCAGCGAGTGGAAGACTTATTGTGTGCTTTCAAGACTTTGTGTGTGCTGTAGTACAGTTATATTTGGAGTGTGTAATTCAGAGAGACATGTATAGCTCCCACATTATTAATACGTGAAGACTCTTGAAGACAGAATGAACAGATTATTGTGAATAGGGTTATAGATTGTGAAACCCCGTAACTTTGTTATAATTAACTGTAGCCATTACTTGTAGGTTGTTGAATAAACCAATTAACAATCTCTACGGCGTCTTCAGTAATGAAACACGTTACAGTATATATAGGCTGAAGTGCAATTACAGTGTTTGAATTCACTACGAATGCACAGAAAAAAAATCACACTCTGTATCTCAGCCATAATGCAACTGTCTGTTCATGACCATAAAGAGGGAAATAATCTCTTGCAACTACAACGTAAGGTCTTAGCACTGAAGAAGGGACCCCCCTAGCTTTTTCATGAATAGCCATTCTTTCAGTCTTCTGTTCTTTAGTCAGAAGATTCGAAAATCTGAGGAGTGTAACAAAAGATGTGAAACTTGCCAGTGGAAGACCAAATGATTTTATTGCTTCCATCTGTTTTATGACCCCTGAGAGTGCTAAAATATGTCAAGTGTTACAAGCAGGATTGATTTTATAATGCAGAACTCTGTGAAGAACTGGGAAACCATTTTTACAGTACGTATCAAAATGAAAAGAAAAAGATTGAAAATAGTATATAATTCTTTGTATAAAAATTTGCAAATCTTATGTTATAATATGCAACCCTGTGTTCTTTGCTGATACAAACAAAGTTAATTCCATCCATTTATCATAAAAATTGTGTTACATACAGCATTTTTAAACACAATGCTTAAAATTGTAGGAAGGGAAATTTAAATGCAGAGCAGCAACTGGCATTTAAAGGCACACCAGCAGTGGGCATTTAAATAAACTCCGGCCAGCTCAAGTTTACCACCATTTCAAAAGTCTGGCGTTTTAAGGTTAATACTGTCCACCCACATGCAAATTTGAATAACACATTTTAATTTTTTATGAGCTCAACTGATTTAAACCAATTTAAATTAATAGCTCTTGCCTTAACGAGAATTGCTGTTCAACTATTGAGAGTCATGAGGAGAATAAGAAAGCGAAGTAGTATGGTTGGTGGAGAAGGAATGAAAGGGAGATGGGAAAAATATGTTTCATTTATGTGATTTCAGCCTCTGTGACTTATTTTCAGAACTGCTACATACACTGAGGAGTGCCTGTATTAGGTTAGGTTAGGTTAGAGTAGAACATTTCTCAATTCAGTAAAACTTCTACAATAAAAAGGTGGCCTTAAAATTCTGCCTAGGCAGAGCCAAGTTTCATCAAAAAAATTTTAATACCATTTTAAATATGCATAATATCATGAACCCATCTAGGCTTAACCTCTCTTTCCTTGCATTTCCTGCCACAGATGACTACAATTTATTTGACCTTAATACCAGAAAAACAGGTGGTACATGATGATTTCCAGAACCTCTCTCTCTGATGACTATGATAATGATAAATACCTATCTAGATCGATGTACAAATGATGATGATATATTTCATTATGTATGCAGTCATCAAATTGTACATCATTTTGCAAACACATTTGTCAGGCTTGACCTCAAATTCTTGTACAACATGTGAAAATTGCATATCCGTATGATCTGCCACATGAAACCCAAATTGGGTTGCAAATATTCAGATCTCTGTTTCCATGGGAATGCAGGGAAATGGTAGAAAAGCAGTACCTTCTATTCCACTAATAAGTTGTTAATTATTACAGGATCAGTTGTACATTGCAGATTTGCTATTTGCAAATGATTTGTTTGTATCCTCATTTATATGTAACAGCCTACAGAAGATAATACACCAAGTACTAAGAAGAATGCAATATGAACAAGTAAAATAGCAATGCCTAAAAGAAGGTAACAGAAAAATTAACCAGTTTGGTATACTTTTAGAAAATACAGGAGTCTGGAAAAATCAAAGGCATTATTGAAGGAAAAAGTAAAGAGGCATTAGTATCTCTCAATAAATCACTGACTGGAACTCCTGATGTAAGAGGCTAGATATTAGAAGACAGGTATGAAATACAGTGTGAGTATACGATTATGTTTGGTGTACGCAATGTGAACCAGACAAAGTAAGGAAGGACGCAGATGAAGTCCAAGGTACATGTTTCAAGAAACTGAAAGGATTAGCATGATTTGCAGTGAACGGTATGGCACAAATGGAACTATGAAGTGACAGAAGGAGGGGGACAACAGTATGGTACGCTGCAATATACTGGCAACGAATTGTATGTATGGACACTCAAGACAGTGTAAGACTGCATTATGGATGGCAAAAAGGTAATGTGTAAGTCAAAATCTGGACTGCTTACTGTAAAGCAGAACACCCAGATCTTTTACATATGTGATATATAAAACTAAAACATTTCCAATACAGTAATTAAAATCAACACTACTGGGGTGATCATTTTAATGAAGTCATGAAAGTTTGAATAATTTAACCTTTATGGGATGGGCCATTTAAATTCTGGTAGTGGCAGCGTNACGGATTTAATTTAAATGTCCGCCATTGTAGAGTAATGAAATTGTAATCATGTTACTCAAAATGCTGTTATTTCTACAATTTTTGTGATAAACGAACGAAATAAACGCCACTTTTTTCTAGAAAGTATATAGAATCAGATACTGTAATTTACAGATTTTAGAATCTGTAAAAATTGTTACATCGATTCAAAAAAAAAATTTCCCCAATTTTGAGCGTCTGTCTACAAAAATGCATAAAGCTTCTGCACAAAACCTTTCTGCAGTATAAATGCATGCTGCTGACTCACGGTCTGACTATCTGTTATCTGGAGGAGAGAGAATGTTTGTTTTCATTGCACATTCTCCAGTCAGTGGGCTTCTTGTATACATGAGTGTGGGCAGTTCTTATCCCTTTTATTATTATTTGTCCTTATGAAACTGTGTCTGTATATACACATTGTCCGACTATCCACACAGTTACTTCTTGGAATATTCCCCTCAATGCCCCTTGCGTCCTCGTCCCTTCATAACCGACTGTACCCCATTCTGAATGGTGTGATTTACGAGTGGCCTCTCAATTTCGGCTTGTTCCATGCGAAATGGGGCCATGGTGCATAGTTGAAATTGTGATGTTTTATAAGCGTTACGAATACAGGAGACCACTTGCCATCACTGGCTTACTTCCTGTTAATACGAGACAGATGTTGTGTGTGTGCGCTTTGCGTGGAAAACAGAGTTACATATGGACAAAGTGCATGAATTGCGATGTCGGACTCTGCATTCAGTTATATGATGCAGGAGGGAAGACAGTCTACTTATATAGTGGGTGTCCAAAAATAGTGTAAGTAGAACAAGAATTTCTATCTTAAAATTAGATTTTAAAACACTGTGCATACGCGTGGACTGCGCATACCCATACGGTGTCTTTCGGCCACTCGGCTTTACTTTAAAGGTCCCCATACGGTGTCCTTCAGCTCATAAAGGTTAACAAAGAATAATGCTAAAGAGATGAAATTCAGAAACAACAAAACCTATTGCTTGCATTGCTTGCATTGTGTCATCTGTCGGCAGCAAGTGATATTATGAATGCATGTGTGCTTTGCAAGTTATAAACAAACATGACATTCAATGCACAGGGGTGCATATTTATGGTGGAATGTTAAGCCAACCA